TTAATAGTCAATACCTTTTTAATTGAATAGTTACCCCAATGAAATGTCTAACTAGTTAATGAATTTTATTAAAACTAGCATGTCCGTAAATCCATTGATCAATGTGTCAGTACACTTTGATCTATCAACTTGCCATTGCGTGACAGCATTAAACTACCTCATGTTTCATATGTTCATATTCACACGTTAGCATTAACATGTTAAACAAAATCTGGCCTAACTTGATTTCAGTGACTCATACCCGACGCTAATATGTCATCAGATTTTTCCAATACCACGAACACCCAGTACGGCTGTCATGATTCAGCACATGCTCAAATCAGAGTTACAAGGCAACCACTAATAACATTCTGTATAAATACAAACGTACAAAACACATGGCCGGGTTAGGGTGATCCTGAACAATTCCAGATTAGACATGTTTCATTTGAACACTGTAATATTCCAGTCAAGTAATTTAGTTCGTTTGCTTTTTTGTTGTATAAAACCCCACTCATGCACTATTCCAATTATATGATGGAGATTTGTAAATAATCGAGTCTTGACCAGATAATACAGTGATCAACTTCATGAGCATCAATCTAGGCAATTGGGATACGATGATACGTGTCAACCAAGTCAGCCAGCCTTACCACCCGATCCCGTTAGTTGGCTCTAACGATAAGCATTGCTTGCTGAAGACCAATTCTAATCAAGATCTTCATGGACAGTAAGAGAGACTTGTAAATCACTGTATCATATGTCTTGCCACTTACTTCTTCACAGGGCGGTGGGGTAGCCTAGTGGTTAAAGCGTTTGCTCGTCACGCCAAAGACCCGGGTTTGATTCCCCACAAGGGGTACAATGTGTGAAGCCCGTTTCTGGTGTCCCCCGCCGTAATGTTGCTGTAATATTGCTGCAAGCGGCGTAAAACTAAATTCACTCACTCACTACTTCTTCACAGGTAATTTCAGATCATCACTGCATTTTATCTGTTGGTGTAATAAGTACCATCTTTGTTAAATTTCCAAACATTAACCACTGTGCATCATACTTATCATATTGTTTCTGCAACGTAAACATATTCTCAGTTTACACATTGCTACAATAAACCCAGAAGACACAGAACTCCAGAACAAGGGTTACAACAGTCTGTCTCATAGACCTTCAACAATAAAATAAATATACCACTCAACCCTTGAATGATTTGGCAAGTCTAGGTTGACACTTCTTCTGTACTCCATTTGGACTTGTTTTGTAGATAGATATAATTCTTTTAATTTTTAAATATAACTGCATTTATTTTTAAATAAGATAACTGTATTTCTGGGACTAAATGTCAGTCTAGGACTGTAGAGCTCTGTCAATACATTCATTATCATTCTAGTTGCCACAGTATCCATGGCAACAGGTGTTTCTCCACTGGTGCAAGTGTGGCCAGTATTTATCAGACCAGGTGCGGTTTCACACAGGATAATTGTAGTTTACCTAACAGCACTGTGAACACACATCACACATGGAAGTTTGATTGTAGTCAAATAAACCTCTCATTCATAAACTGGTGAATGGTGTACAACACTCCTTTGCTGATTCTGCAGGCTTCCTGGGTATATTTTTATCATTTTTTTTTATCATAGAGTTACAAGGAGCCATACAAATCAGATAAAATCTTACATCGCTGTAAAGGTGAATATTCAAGACACTGGCCCTTCCTAACCAATAGACAACAGGAAAAGGGAGTTTTCATGGGTTGTTTTATCCTGTTTTGAAATATGCTGTGCAGTGAGTCACAAATATATGCAGGTGAAAGTGACTGAAAAAAATCCCATCAGAATTATTTGTCACTCAAATAAATAATTCATGTAGGATCTAACTATTTCAATTGCTACAGAAACTATGGGTTATAAGATAAGCCATATATCATGTATTTTACAATGATTATAGTGCAACAGCAACACTGGCCAATCTATGACCATTACTAAAACAAAGAGAATAATATTGTATAGGAAGAATACAAAGAATATAATGAAATTTGTGAACAAACAGGTGACGAGAAAAAGCAATATTATAGTAATCTATCATCACGTGTTATTCTGTTTTAAACAATTTCAAACATCTCAAGTAACTCTGTCAACATGGTAACAGAGCTTGAACAGAATACCATCAAGGACTGACTGACTGACTGACTGAGTTTAGTTTTACGCCGCTTTTAGCAATATTCCAGCAATATCACAGCGGGGGACACCAGAAATGGGCTTCACACATTGTGCCCACGTGGGGAATCGAACCCGGGTCTTCGGCGTGACGAGCCAACGCTTTAACCACTAGACTACCCCACAGCCCCATACCATCAAGGAAAAACTAGTACAATCGTAGACTGATTTATTACTGAACTGTAATGATATATATATAGCCATAACATTACATGTTTCTTGTGAATAATGAATTATCCAATTTTCCAATGAAGTACAGGTGAGTGGACCATCAGAGATGTCCGAGTAGGCCTTGAGTAGGCTAGTCCTGACAGAGTTCTTCCCCTTGGTTTTCACAGTGCATGTTAAATGTCCCATACTTATTGCCATATATATCAAAGTAAAGTATCGTCTCCATACTTTACACAGGTTGTCATATTTGTGCTCAGCTCCAAACAATAAAGCACTTTAAATATGAATTATGATACAATTTACAAAAAGATCCATGAATATAGGACAAAATGTGGCAAAACTTGCATGTCACTTTCGCAGCTGATAGTTGTACTTTAAAATCATTAAAATATACATACTTCTGTTAACCAGATTTGATCTGTATTAGAATGTGTTATGACTCATAAAAACAGAAGTCACCCCTCTCATTTTTTGTCGATTATTTGGTTCAAGCTCTTACCATAAAGGTTTCTGCAAATCAGATAACAATAATAGCAAAAGAAATACTAGCTAAATCAACATTACAGTCAATGTCATGTTGACAAGTTTATGGCAGATAAATCTTTTTGAACTTGACACAGGAGTTTGGATGATGGATTGTATTGTGCAAAAAGATGTGCCCCTAATGAACACAGCCATCTGCACTTGAGGAACTTAATACTTTCTGACAGAATTTTTATCATACACTACATGTTATACACTTCATCCTGTACATTGATGAATTGTTGTGGTCAACATACTCAGCATAAAACAAATGGCCAGTATCAGTATGTATAATGTAATTATGCATCTTATATACCAAGGTATCTATCACCTATCATCTGTACTTTTTAGGTACATACACCCAGGCCCTATCATGCTGTAGCAGCATCTGCTCTTGTTACCATGGTTATGTGAGAGAGTAGTGAAAACAAATGATAAATTTGTTTCCTAAAGTTACCTTTCAACCTGACATCTATTTTTTTAATTTTTACCCATGTCAGTATCACAATGGACAATAAGGATACGCTTAGCAGGACATGATACAAATCTCAATAGCTGTGTGCAATATGACACACACTATGCAGTATGCATTAAAGCCTGACACGTGTCAGATTAAATATGTTTAAGGCTGTATTCAATCACTGAATGTGTTCTAGACAAAAATTATTCACTATATACACATAAGAAGTCTTGCCATGCTTGCATATATTCTTAGAATTTAGAACTAGAACTACCAACATAAAGAGTGAGTGAGTGAGTTTAGTTTTATGCCACACTCAGTAATATTCCAGCTATAAGGTGGTGGTCTGTACATAATCGAGTCTTGGCAAGACAATCCAGTGATCAACAGCCTGAGCATTGATCTACACAATTGACATGTGTCAACCAAGTGAATGAGCCTGACCACCATATCTCGTTAGTCGCCTCTTACAACAAGCATGTTTTACTGAAGATCAATTCTAACCCGGATCTTCACAGGTGCCAACATAAAGAGATACACAGTCCAGAACAGCATTCATACACATATTTCAATGAGACTGAATTTGACTATTCCTTGCTCTGTCCACCAAGAAGTGAGCTGTTCTACTGCAGAATCACATGGTAAATACATAAAGTGACGCAAAACCTTTTTAACACATAATTTGAAACCTTTAAATTTCATTTAAACACATCAGCAATTGTATTATGTGTTCTTGTTGCTGTTGTAGAGGAAATTATATGATGTTCAAAATGATAATTATTAGTGCTGTAACGATGCATCGAACTATCGATGGATTGCAATTGTTGAGTCTCCGATAGCAATTAATCGATGGTAAAAACGAAAAACTATCGTAGTTCAGTGATTGAGTTCTGTTGATAAATACAGCAAGTACCAGATTCATTCACTTGATTTACTGTTATCCACCCCTGTTACCTCTTAAACAAACATGGTGGCAAACACAGCATGCAACTCAGAGTTTGAAACTGTGAATAACAATAAGTTTATGTTTTAACTGTTCACTTGATCTGGGTTTCAAGTTTCTTGTCAGTTATTAAAAGAGACTGAAACTACTTCAACTTGTTTTTATTTCATATATACTATACGTTGTATACGTTCATTTGGGAAATGGCTTTAAAGGAGACAAATAAAGGGAAAAAAAACCTATTGCAATAGTTGGTCACAAAAGTATTTTGCAATAGACTATCGCTATTGCAATAGTTGTTTCCCACTCAATAGTCACCCTTATAATTATTACCATAAAAATGAACCAGTTCAATGAGACAAAACAAAATCACACATGCAGATATCCTGTACACATTATTCAAACGGCCATTCCTAGTTCCATAATAATTGTTGCAGAGTATGCACCATTAGTATGTATATATATTATAATATAGCTGAGGACTCTAAGCTTTGTGATGCCATAAACATAATGTTACAACTTGTGATACAGTAGTGCCAAAGTCACCATGTTGATGTCACCCGATTACAATTCGCCTTCTCTAAACTGTCAGGTTTTCTCTCTGAGATACATTGCCAAACATACTGTACATAATGTATGAATGTTACACGTTTAGCAATAAGATCACTATTCGATACTGCCAAACATATGAACTGTGAAAGAAGTGCTTTTGAATTTTTATTTTACTGTAATCATGGTAATGCACAAAATTAGCAATAATCATGGTCTAACATACCACTCACAGACCAATCAAAATGCAAAATTCTAAAACGTCCACCTACATAGTCAAAGTAGATTAAAAACATATGTAACATACTCAATCACAAATTTAATTGTAAATTAGTCTGGAACTAGAAGTCAAAATTGGACTACCATTAGAATTCAGCACAAAACATTTTTCTAATAACTAATGACATACTTTTTACAATTTTGTAGCCAAATACACCAGCAAAACAATAACTATAACTTCATCCCCAAAACATACTTGCCTGGATCATCTAGTATGCATACTGATCAATTATCAAGAAATATCAGAGAAGTAACTTTGAGAAAATATGCAAAAACTCCCTAAAAAATAGCACACTCACATCACTGATGCGTGGTGAAACATTTACATGATTTGGGCATGGATTACATAGGGAATTTAACATTTTAAAAAACTCAGCTGCTTTCCATCTTTGGCAATTGACAAGTTTCAATATAATAAACTTAAATTATATAAGAATGGTTTATGTTTATTATTGTGGATGACACAACTTTCATGTCGATAATTGTGACTATTCCCACCTATAGACAATAATTCTGATTATTAATCTTTTTTGCCAGCCCCAAATCCCTCACACTATATCCTTGAATAAAGGCAAAGATGGAGTCTGGTGGTTAAACTATTTGCTTAAAATCTCACTCACTATTGAACAGAATACACTGAGTTTTCATATATTGTTTTCTCTAGAATTGGGTGCAGGACATTCTTTTTTCAAGCACCAGTTTATCACATTTGTGTAAGCATTATAACTGTTACTATATTTTTAGAATGGACATTTCTGTTTTAACACACAAGGGTCAATTAAGTTCTGAGAATTATAAAGAAAGAATTGCAAAACAGTGAAATGTTTTGGTGTCACAGAGGTATATCCATGAAAACTTGAGCCAGTTGCGTACATTGTTTCACTGTTTCAAGTCAGTAAAGTAGCTGGGGTCTGTGACCTTTGGAAAATGTACAAACGTAAAAAAAGTGCAATGATCAAGTACTAGCAGAAAAAGGCTTAACACCACAAGTTATCTGTGAAGATAAAAGTACAACACTGGGGGTTCTGTTTGAATCTGATCCAAGAAGGTTCTTGCAATGGTGCAATATTTCAAGAGATGCCAAACGGCAACAAGCAGTTCAACAACTACCTATCATGACCCTCCATGTCATTTTTATACACATTTCACAGCAGGGTACAGTACAAATAGAAAGACAGAATAAGTGAGGAATACTACAAAGAATCAAATGTGAAGTTTGCAGGGGTGACACCATGATAATATGCAATCTATCAAACACCTTACCCTAAGTAACTTTTAACTGTGTGGATGTAGCTCAGAAAGTTACCTTATCACAATGACAATCTAAAAGGTCACAGGTTTAACTTGTCTTCATGAGATATTGTGCAGCTAAATCCTAAACGTAACCTCAGATATTATCACATCTATTTTGTGACATATGCAAATACTATAAAAAATATTTATGCTTCATTTGTTTGCTTGTCTATTTGTTGTTAAATCCTGTACTCAGCAATATTCCAGCTATAGGCCAGCAGTCTGTAAATAGTCGGGGTGTTATCAGACAATCCAGTGATTGACATAATGAGCATCAATCTATGCTTTGTCTCAGCAATAGTTCAGCTATATGGCAGCGGTCTGTATTTAATTGAGTCTGAACCAGACAATCCAGTGGTCAACAGCACAAGCATCAATCTACGCAATTGGGATGATGTGTCAACCAAGTCAGCGAGTCTGACCACCCGTTAGTTTCCCCTTACGACAAGTATGGGTTGCTGACGACCAATTCTAACGAAGATCTTCACAGGTCTGCAATTGGGATGCAATGACATGCTTTAACAAGTTCCCGAATCTGACCACACGATTACTCTGTGATGAACCTTTTAACTTAAACCAAACACAGACAATCACAAGATCATCATGTCCCCTTATTAACATGCAAAACATTTTTGTTGATAAAATGCATTTTATCATTCTGTACTTATCGTTCAGGTGCTTTTGATGTCAACAGGCTGATAATATTAAAGGAAACTCTCATGGTAGTATTTGTTCACAAAAAAAGTATTCTGACAATATTTTGAGCATGGATCAAACTTTAACCTCATAGGGTCTTACTCTCTACATTGAAAGACATATACAATTTTCATGTACCTGCATCATAATTTTTTTTATTAAAAAATAATGCAATCATTTAAATATGTGTTCTATCTTATCACTATTTTATGCACATGTGTTGGAAAGTATAATAGTAAACAAAAGAGGCACAAACAGATGCATCATCTAACACATACCGCTAACTTCCTCAGTTCCTTCTGTCAAGATATCTTTTGTCAAGTTGGAAATCTGGCCTGTCAGAGAGGATATGCTTCCGCCTAGCCATGACATGTTGCTTACATCAGTCGGATCTGCATTTATTGTTTCCGATGATATTCTTTACTTTCTACTTGTTATAATTAGTTTGCATGCAACTGACATCTTGAACGAAACTTCTTGTTACATGCCGAATGCCAACACGACGGCAGCCATATTGGCATTCAACGTGTCAATGCGCATGTGTAAATATACAATGGGAGGCCACTCTCATTTCATGCACAAGCCAACTTTCAAAGCTAATGGTATGGCTCTGTTCAGGTGGCAAGTGGATCGAATCAACAATTAATTTCAACACAGTCACATCAACGCGACCAAAATGTTACGAATTCTTTCTATTTTTTAGGACACAAATTGTCTTGAAAATATTCACTGAGCGACAACCACGCTTTCCCTGCAACCACAGACCAACATTCTTTTAAAAAAGTGATTTTGCGCAAAGGTGTGAACTTTAAAGAATCTTTAATCTACTAAAAGGTCATTTAACACAATTTGTTTCACAGTTGTCTTCACACACACGTACTTATCTATCGATGTCTAAATCTCTTCTGTAGTTAAGTTCTTGATAACATGAATACGAGAAATTTCAGAGAAGAAAAAGGTTATATTTTGCAATTCGTGTTTCAGTTATTACATCCGGCATTTGTGTTACTCCGCGTTTGCATCCGTGGTCAGAATGCAAATTTATTCTGACCATGGGCCGCAGCTAGACTGACTAAGAGTGACCTTACATCGACGGCGTTCATAATGTCAATCACCGGTTTGAATGACACGATAATTTACAGGCCGGCGTCATTTACCTTGAACAATAGTACAATTGTATATCAAACAGATAAAACATATCTATGTTCCTTGTTATATTTCAAGTTAGTAGGGGCTGGATTTTGTTCATGACAATGGTTGTTTGGTTTATTTTTGAATCAGTTATTATCTTTTTTTTTACCAACGCTGACCGACAACTAAGTGAGATTTACATTTATTAAAATGTGTTTACAAAGCATGGCGACTCGATCTACACTTGACGTAATTTCCATAGACTTATATGTTAATTTAGTGTGGCATAAATAATTTTCATGAATTTAATTTTCCTAAGATCCAAGTCAAATTTTGCTCATTTGTGAGGAATCATCTTACCTACAATCACATAATTTCTGTGTAATTTTCCGTTGCTTATTTATCGAATGGCAACAATTTAATCAACCTATGTACAGTGCCGTGAACTCCTTTAACATGACGGCCTGTGGGATTGTGCATTGTGGAACCGTACGTAAGTTGATAAATGTGATGTCATTAGTTAAATCTTGGTCGGAAAACTGAACTGAAATTATGTGCACAGATCAGAGATGATTTCACATTTGCCTAACAAATTTTACAAAAATCCATCCTAAACCCACTTCATGAAAATTATTTATGCTACACTGAAATAACGTGTAAGTCTATGGAAAGTATGTCAGGTGTCCGAATATATCTGGCACGGGTCTGTACATCATGAATATATTCAAATACCAGTACCAAGTGACTTAATTCTAAATTTCATAAGATAAGTTACACAATCATTGAAAAACAACATTTGTCTGTTCGTTTATTTATACACTCATCAAAAAGAGAAACACACATGTGCTTTGAGCTGTTCATTTCTATATACTTTGACAGCTATCGTCATTAAGACAATTCCTATGTTTGAATCCCGTTAATCATGTTATAGTTGTTGTTTATAGCGCGCAAACGCATCCCAGAATGTGTTTGTAGACGTTTGTCATGAAATATGAAAACGCTACATGTATGAAAAGTACATGCAGAAAAAGTTTTCCACGTAATGCACGTGCAATGTGCCGGAAACAAGAGTAGAGACATCGACTATAAAAAGCCAAAGCAAATTCATCATTTCATTACCAAATGTACTACGTAAACCAAGATAAAATGACAAGATTGAATGCTACTGAGCGTTGGAAGCAGGAGAGTCCCAGTCTGTCGTTGCAAGACACTTCAATGTCCACCACAGCACCATATCTCGGTTATGGCATCGATATACCCGCTTCAATTCAACCCAAGCTCGTCCCAGAAGTGGAAGACCAAGAGTGACCACTCCTGCTCAGGACCGATTCATCCGTGTGTTTCACCTACGTCACCGATTTGCTACAGCAACGGACATTGCAGGGCAGGTGCCTGGTCTTCGAAGAATTTACGACCAAACCATCAGAAATCGTCTGCGAGAAGTGGGAATTCGAGCATATCCACCAAAAGTTGGACCTGTCCTGACACGACTACACCGATAACAATGTCCCCAATGGCGCAACAGGGTACAGGCATGGAACGACGCGTTTGGTTCAGCGATGAATCGCGTTTCCTACTGCAACGACGGGATGGGAGACAACGTGTCTATCGACGTCGACACGAACGTTTTGCGCCGAACTGCGTTCGACAGGTGGACAAGTTTGATGGAGAGAACGTCATGGTGTGAGGAGTCGTGTCCTACACGAGTAGATCAGAGCTAATGGTGGTTCAAGGCAATCTTACAGCAAATCGCTACGTCGACCAAATCATAATCTTCAATACACAATGCCCATTTACTGCCTCGTCTTCGTTTGGAGTCCTGTACATGACCAATGGTAGCTTTGCCTTTTTGTGTACTGTTTAAAACATCACAAGATAACCTTGGGAACATACGGACTGTGAAACTACATAATGCCATTTTAGAAAGTGGTCAAATGTAACATATGTTATATTTGGGATTACACTTTCTTAGTAAAGTACAGATTCTAGTACTTTTGGGGGTTGAGTCCCATCCGGGATTCGAACCCACACCCTCAGAGTCAGGCACCTAATCGCCAGCACACAAAGTCAGACGGTGGCTGAGCGGTCTAGGTGTCTGACTTTGTGTGCTGGCGATTAGGTGCCTGACTCTGAGGGTGTGGGTTCGAATCCCGGATGGGACTCAACCCCCAAAAAGTACTAGAATCTGTACTTTACTAAGAAAGTGTAATCCCAAATATAACATATGGACTACCAGTCTAACTGATCAGGAAAACATATTTTGCACCTAAACGTTTATTAATGATGATGTTCTTGTCCTAATTTGTAATTTGCGGCTCGTTCTAACAAAGGTGAAAAGTTAGACCTACACTATGGCAAACTCTCGCACACATGAGTCATCTAATTGGTTACTGCCAAATTTGTCATGTGAGATCGACATAGTGGCGTGACTTACGAAACGAAACTATGGCAATGAAAGTGTTCAATGTATTTAATAATTTAAAATTAGGATATATAATCCACTTGATAACTGAGTCAAATGACGATTAACATACCACGAATTGGAGTAGAACAATTATTGTCACTATGATAAAATATACTCGTTGTGAGTCAAGCTGTATCCTGATTGTTGCATTTCCATTCGGACGCTGTTCCG